CAAGGCCTGTAATCTCAGGACTTTGGGAGACTGAGACAAGAGGATTGCTTGAGCCCAAGCGTTTTGAGACCAGCCTGGGCAACACAGTGAGACTTCATTTCCATTAAAAGTTAAAAGGAAAAAAGTTGGGTGTCGTGGCATGTGCCTGTGATTTTAGCTCTTTGGGAAGCTGAAGTGGGAGGATCACTTGAGTCCAGGTGGTTGAGGCCGTAGTGAGCCGTGTTTGTGCTACTACATTCCAGCTTTGGTGATAGAGTGAAAACCTATCTCAAAACAAAAACAAAAACAGGCCGTGGCTCACACCTGTAATCCCAGCACTTTGCGGGGCCAAGGCAGGCGGATCATGAGGTCAGGCGATCAAGACCATCCTGGCTAACACAGTGAAACCCCCATCTCTATTAAAATTCAAAAAAAATTAGCCGGACGTGGTGGTGGGCGCCTGTAGTCCCAGCTACTCGGGAGGCTGAGGCAGGAGAATGGCGTGAACCTGAGAGGCAGAGCTTGCAGCGAGCCTATACCGCGCCACTGCACTCCAGCCTGGGTGACAGAGCGAGACTCCATCTCAAAAACAAAACAAAAACAACAACAGAAACAAAAAAACCCAAAACAAAACAAATATAATAGCTGTATTGAAGGCAGCCAACATACATATGAAAAAATGCTCAAGATGACTAACCCTTAGAGAAATGCAAATCAAAACCACAATGAGATACCATCTCACTAGTCAGAATGGCTATTATTAAAAAGTCATAAAATTATAGATATTGGCAAGGCTGCAGGAAAAACCTTATACACTGTTGGTGGGAATGTAAATTAGTTCAGCTCCTGTGGAAATCAGCTGGAGATTTCTGGAAGAACTTAAATCTACCATTCATCTCAGCAATTCCATTACTAGGTATATACCCAAAGGAAAACAATTCTCCCAAAGAGACATGTACTCGTATGTTCATCAAAGCACTATTCACAATAGTAAGGACATGGAATCAACCCAGTTGCTTATGGACAGTTGATTGGAAAAAGACAATGTGGCACATATACTCTATGGAATACTGTGCAGCCATAAAAAAGAACAAAATCATGTTCTTGGCAGTAGCGTGGATACAGCTGGAGGCCATTGTCCTCAGCAGGTTATCACAGGAACAGAAAACCAAATACCACATGTTCTTACTTAAAATTATAGCTAAATATTGGGTACACGTGGACATAAAGACAAATAGTAGACACTACATGGTGGGGGAAGGAGGGTAGGAGAAACGGAGGAAAGGGCTGAAAATCTGCCTATCGATTACTATGCTCATTATCTAGGTTACGGGGTCAGTCTACCCCAAACCTCAGTGTCACGCAATATACCCACATAGCAAACCTGCACATGTACTCCCCTGAATCTAAAATAAAAGTTGAAATTAAAATAATACATGGCTGATGGGTCAGGCACTGTGGCTCACACCTGTAATCCCAGTGCTTTAGGAGACCGAGGTGGGAGAATTGCTTGAGCCCAGGAGTTTGAGGCTTCAGTGAGCTATGATTGTGCCACTAAACTCCCGCCTGGGCAACAGAGGGAGAGCCTGTCTCAAAAAATAAAAAAAAAATAAAGAGGCCAGGCATGGTGGCTCATGCCATTCCTGTAATCCCAGCACTCTGGGAAGCCAAGGCTGAGGTGGGAGGATTGCTTGGGCCCAGGAGTTGAAGACCAGCCTGGGCAACATAGCGAGACCCTTTCTCTACTATAAATGAAAAACAATTAGCCAGACACGGTTTTTACCTATGGTCTCAGCTATTCCAAAGGCTGAGGCGGGAGTACTGCTTGAGCCCAGGAATTCTAGGCCTCAGTGAGTTATGATCTCAACACTGTACTCCAGCCTGGGTGACAGAGGTAGACTTTATCTAAAAGGGAAAAAAAAAAAAGAGAGAAAGCTGTATGATATACTGCTCTGTGGAGGCAGTATAACTTTTTTTTTTTTTTTTTGAGACGGAGTCTCACTCTGTTGCCCAGGTTGGAGTGCAATGGCTTGATCTGAACTCACTGCAACCTCCGCCTCCAGGTTCAAGTGATTCTCCTGCCTCAGCCTCCCAAGTAGCTGGGATTATAGGTGCCCGCCACCACACCCAGCTAATTTTTGTATTTTTGGTAGAGACAGGGTTTCACCATGTTGGTCAGGCTGGTCTTGAACTCCTGACCTCAGGTGATCTACCCGCCTTGGCCTCAGAAAATGCTGGGATTACAGGTGTGAGCCACCGTGCCCAGCCGTGGGTGCAATATAACTTTTTTGGCCACAGTAATACTGTTTTGATGAATATTTCTGCACAAATATTTGTCCATATTAGAAATCATTTCCTTAGAATATATTCCTAGAAATGGAATTACTGATTTCCCAAAAGACTTTGACATGTAGTTGAGGGAACTTGAAAACTCTATAATTGAGAAAGAAGAGTAAGTAAGAAAATTGAACCAGGCATGGTGGCTCACACCTGTGATTCTAGCACTTTGGAAGGCTGAGGCGGGAGGATTGCTTGAGCCCGGGAGTTTGAGACTAGCCTAAGAAACCTAGTGAGACCTCTTCTCTACAAAAAATTTGAAAAATAAGCTGTGTGTGGTTTTGTATACCTGTAGTCACAGCTACTGTAGAGGCTAAGGCAGGAGGATTGCTTGAGCCTGGGAATTCAGGGCTGCAGTGAGCTATGATTGCAACATTGCACTCCTGCACTCCAACCTGGGTGACAAAGTGAGACTCTTGTCTCAAGGAAAAAAAAAAAAAAGAACTAAGAACTGGGTATGAAGAGAAAGTGGTCATTGAATTGTAAGAGTGACTGGCCATCAGGTCAAGTCCTTGCGTTGATTTGAAGTCAAGTCTTTATTAAACCATGTGTTGTGGAGGCACTGGTCTGGGTATTTACATTTATGAGATGTAAGAGGCTTTTTGTCATTGCTGAAGATAACATTTTCTCCTTCCTTTTTAGTTTACAGGAGAGCCGTCCATTTTCAGTTGAGTTTTTCAGGAAAATGATTCAGTTTGAAAAGGAGCAAGTAAGTATTCTGTTTCAGCATTTCTTGTCTGGGAAAATGGATAAGTGGTTACTAATCTATCGGACTTTTTTTTTTTTTCCCTGAGGCAGAGTCTCACTCTGTTGCCAGGCTGGAGTGCAGTGGCGCGATCTTGGCTCACCGCAACCTCCATCTCCCAGGTTCAAGCGATTCTCCTGCCTCAGCCTCCTGAGTAGCTGGGACTACAGGCATGCGCCACCAGGCCCAGCCAATTTTTGTATTTTTAGTGGAGATGGGGTTTTACCATGTTGGCCAGGATGGTCTCTATCTGTTGACCTCGTGATCTGCCCGCTTCTGCCTCCCAAAGTGTTGGGATTACAGGTGTGAGCCACTGTGCCCAGCCCGGGAGTGTTTTGTTATGTAAAAAGCTCTCATTATAATACAGTATAAATTTCTGATCCCTTGGTCTAACCCCTTTTCCATAGAGCTGGTTTAGGATTGGTAATCAAGCAAAGAGAAAGTACGTGTTTGGAGGATAGAAAACTTAGATGTTACTTTTTTTTTGAGATAGAGTCTTACTCTTGTCCAGGCTGGGGTGCAGTGGTGTGATCTTGGCTCACTGCAAACTCTGCATCCTGAGTTCAAGCGATTCTCCTGCCACACCCTCCCGAGTAGCTGGGATTACAGGCACATGCCGCCACGCCCGGCCAAATTTGTATTTTCAGTAGAGACACAGTTTCGCCATGTTGGCCAAGCTGGTCTCAAACTCCTGACTTCAGGTGATCCCTCAGCCTCCCAAAGTGCTGGAATTATAGGCGTGAGCCACTGTGCCCGGCAAGCCAAGTATCTGTTCTTATTCTACTGTATAAGACAGTTTTATAGTACAGGAGATAGTCTAGCCTAATATTTAATAGCCAGGCTTTGGATTTATAACATCATAGTTATGTGCCTTGAGCAAGTCACTTAATTCTAAGCTTCCCATCCTCATCTGTAAAGGTTATTATACCTGTTTCAGGGGTGTGAGAGTTGTAAGGCCAAATGGGACACTGGATAGAAAGGATGTTGCATAATGCCGTGCACATATGAGCCGTTAAACAGGTGTGATCTGTTTTTCGTGCATGTCTAAAATATGAGGTTAAATTGACTTTTTTTTTTTTT